TTAAAAATTCTGACTAAAGAATTTCATCTCGTTAAAATATATTTGTTCATGACGATTCTTTTCGCTTTCTTTTTTTAATCAAAGAATTTTACAGACAATTTGCTATATTAAATACTATAAAATCTAAAATAAATTCTTGAAAATAATTTTTTTTTATTTTATTATTTTAATTTTAATTTTTTAAATATACAAATCAATTTCAACAATCATAAAATATCTCTTCTTTTGAATATGTTATATTTCGTTCATATATTTCAATATATTTCAATAGGCAACTATGTTTGATCATCATGCAATTCGCAGATTGTCAAGCTCGAATGACTCTACAGATTGGATTTGAGGCGATTAATCACGAACATTATCTTATCGCGAGTTGAATGCTCCTATCAACGACGTGTTGCGAACAATCTTTTGCTATGACAAGATTGTACAACATCGTACATAACTACAAACTTTTATTAATAATACAGAAATGTATTGTTGCATTTTACATTAGATTCGACATAAAATTGTAACAATGAATAAATTACGTAAGTGATTCAAATTATTTCCATCCAATATGATTAATAATAATGACATCGTTGAAAGTTTCTTTTTCGATTTTTTAAAATGTTTATATAATAAAATAAATAATTAAATATTTTTTATTTCTAACAATAGATTCTAAAAATTAACATTAATACATTTAATATTTCAATTGTTCAAAATTAAATAATTATAAGAATATGATTATAATTATAAGAAATGATCATTGCAAAAAAAAATTCAGAAGTGGTAAAAACGCTATAAAATTATCAATTTGGATAATGCAAGGTCTTGCCATACTTGGTTTCGAATTCTCTAAGTAGACAGGTATGCGTATGATTAACAATGTCTCAGCAAACGATTGTGGCGATTCACATCATTCTATCCTTGTTTAATGCTTACCGTGCTATAGAATTCTATCTTCCTCACACTTCAATTCTCCCTTACAATTAGATGTCTAGAGGAATACGAAGGAGGATTATTCACCCAACCACATTGTTTTCATTGTCTCGCAAGTTATGATGTCAAAGTCGATAAGATCGAAAACAGAAACAAGGAAAAGACGCATCGATAAATGGACAAGCTTTGAATGCTTTTGAAATTGAAATTTAATGTATTTATAATTAGTTATTTAAGCGATTCTTTGTTTAATATTAATTGTTTACATTAAATTGTACTTTCGATTATTGATTAAACAGATTGATTTAAGGATAATTTTTTTTATTATAATAATTCTATAATTTTTATCACGAATCTAAAATTATTAACTTTAACTTATACTTTGTACCGATGAAAAGTAATAAAATGATGTATATATATCATTTTTAACAAATTTTAAAAAAATATTGTCCGACGTAAAATATGTAGCTATTTAAACAACCGCTCTGTGGAATCTCGCGTTTAACCTATAATTAAATGCGCTATTTTTCGCCACACGCCGATTTCACTCCAGATGCGTTGTCGAGTGTTCACGTTTCTTCGAAAATTGCGCATTGAAAAGATGGTCGACAGTATAGTGACGGTTCTGAATTTCTTTCATAGCGTTTTCTAGATTCGGATTTGAATTTCATCAGAAAGCATTACATTCGAAAATAAACATACATTCGAATGTTCCTCGTAAATTGGATATAGCGGGGAACTTGGCGAAACTAGAATTGATGTTTGTTGTATGGATAGTATTCTTGTAGATTACAATGTAAATATATATATATTTATATATATATTTGTATAAGTAAAATGGACAATTGTGAAGAAAATATGATATGATATACCTGACGAAGTTATTATCGTTTCATTTAGAAATGAAATAGTTTGGTCGTTAAAATGAATAGAATACCGAAAAATAGTTAATGATGTACCGGTAGATACTAAGACAGTGCCAAGAAAGACGAAAATAAGTCGTTATTATTTAATGATACGGAATAATTTAGTAGAATTAATTTAATAGAATTTTTTTTCTTATTCTTCTTTTGAATTTCTTCTGTATATTATTCTTCGAAAAAGGAAAAAAAAAAAAAAATATCCAAAGAAACGCGAAAACACATTTATCGCAAACATTTGGAAAGCTCGACGAATGGATGTAGTCATAATGGCGCTTATTGGTCGTAAAGGTTAAAATAGAAGTAGAAAATCTTGCTAATCCGTCAAACAACATAAACAGAAGATTAACAAATTTCGCGTGTAAATTAATGAAAGAAACACGGACGTTGCGGAAGCTTGTGAAGATAACACTAAAGAAGATTCAGTAAATACTGTTATCATCACCGTCGATCGTACGTCACTGCATTGTAGTCACGGGAAAAGGATATGAGAGCCATATAAGATGTACTCTAACTAATAGTTACGCTTGCCATCACGATTGCTCACTAATAAAAGAACAGGTTCATTTCTTTGATATATGTTGGGAAAATTGACTTTTATCTCAATGATTTCCTCTGAATTGAATGTAATATAAATGAAATAATAGAATATGAGTTTGTAACAAATAAAAAAATCATAAGAAATTGAAAATTACATTCTCTTTTGTATCATTGTGTACATGTTATATTAAGGATACATGTATCTAAGATCATTTAATTTATTGATAAAATATAAATATCAATATTATTGATCTATTAAAAATATAGATTAACATAGGTATAATTAAAAGTTTCAACAATCGTATAAAATACAACATAAAGTTGGAATATCAATATGTCGAATATACATAGTGTTCGATGAGAGAACGCTTTCGAAGGTGACCAAACCTATCTAAAAATAACCAGCGCTGCTACTGAAAATAAAGACGAGAGTATACCACTCATTCGACAAACGATTGCTCTGCTTTGATGCATTGAACCGTACCATCATTTTTCCAACTACACATTTTGTATCTAATAGAAAATGTCGATTTATAATATAACACGTTGAATAAACCACGATGAAATATTTGTAACTTACATTTCAATGCTTTCAACTAATCGATAACATTCATGGAAATCCGGTTCGTAATATTTATAATCATGCAAATAAAAAACATATTTAATGTTTAACATTATAAATGATAAAAAAAATAATATATTAGATGAAATTATAATTTTTCTTAAATAATCTCTAATAATTATGATCTATATAAATGATGAATGCGTTCCAATGAAGAAGTTAATCTTGATAGAATATGCATAAATAGTAGTGGTTGACCGATAATAAATCATGATCGCTGGCACATGTTCTTCAATATGTATTAATAACGCGTGATCAGTGGTAACGTTATACATATATACAGGTTTATTCGCAAGAAAGATGCAAACTCTTTCGATACTCAATATTATTCGCTTACATAATCGCAACTTTAATGATAGTTTGATGGCATCTATCATTTCGTTCAAAACAATGATCGCCTGATTGGCTAACTATGCAATTATGCTTTTGTAACAGCCTGTTTAAAAATTAACTTTCACTTCTTTCCGTCCATACCGGACGAAACTAACCTCTTATCATAGAATCGAATATTTAGTTGTTTTATTCTTATAATCGATATATTTTTTTAATTTAAACCGAATGATATTTTATTTCTTACAATTCTTTTCTCATAAAATTGTTTTTATCATTTTTTAACATAATATTGCGTATTTCATCGTAATTATAATATATCTCATACATCTTGTTTCCATTTATAAATATCTTTACTGAAAAAGAAAAAAATATAATGAAAAAAAGAAAAAAAGAATGAAAAAAAATGTAAATGTTACACGCAATTACTACAACTAAAGTTATTGTTTGTTAAAACTTATGTCTGCGGGAATATGGCTTGTATAGTTTAGGAATGAAAGTTATACATTATCCGTTAGATCCCTAGAAAAGTTGATGGAGTTAGGAGATTGAGGGGAAATGCCGAGTGATGAAGAGAAGGGGGAGTAAGTAAGGAGAAAAAAGAAAAGAAAAGAAAAAGTCGGAGTGGCGACACGAAGAACAGCTTTTTACTTGTGTACGACCATTTTCATTAGAAGTTCATTGTGATATTTATATCGTTATAACGATCAGCGAATTTTTGATAAAATGCTTTACAAAAATATCACTTTTAAAAGTATTATTATTTATTTATATATTATTTATAATTAATAAAACTCTTATCTTTTAAAAAGTCATTTGATAATGTAATTATACAATTAAATAATATTTTAATACATTTTATATAAAATTTTTAATAAAGGAAAACATCATTTTTATCATTTTTATTATCTCTTGAATTGAATCTAATCTTAAATTAAAACAAAGAAACGAAAAAAAAAAAATTAAACGAACATATGTATGTATCGCGATTCAAAAGATATTTCCTAATCTATCAAAAAATATCGAGTTATCAGAGCGTACATTGCTTATTTAGCTAGCAGTTATTTGTGTTTTATTTTTATAGCAAATGCAAGCATCGAATCGAATTTTTTTTCATTATCTTTGATTATATGTATTGTTCATTTTTCAATCTTCCTTTACAACAATGCTTATATATATATACATATAATTTTAAAAGTAAAACAATTAATTAATTTCATAAATAACACCATGATAGAATTTTATATTCTTTTAATTAACGAATTATTGAAACAATCATCATTTATTATCATAATATATTAAATTTAAAATAATATAATCTATTTATAATCAATAAAATCTTTATAGATTCCCTATAATTTCAATTTCTAAAATCTTCAGAAGTTAATTCATGATACATAAATTAAACACGTTTGCAGAAAATGAAATGATGCAATTCCGTTATCGTGATTCATAAATAATACGAACTCAATAGCATATCAAGCATAAGACCATCCATACTGATCGATCTTCTGGCATGGCGCGACTAACTGTGAAAAGCTGGCGGTGCCAACAGCGCCGCCTATCGTTGACGGCGGCGTCGTTCTCGTTCTATCTTCATGGTTGTGTAGGTACTTACTTACATACTACCTAGTAGTAGGTAGTGTCGTTTCCCGCCTGTAAACACACTGCGGTGTGTAGTCGTATCGTGTCCCCCTTCACAACTTCTTCCGATAACGAACGTGTTTTACGCGCCACACCAAAATAATCCGATTACCGGGGCCAAACTAGCCTTTAAAAGTCGCCTTCGAAACGAGAAAAGAGCGGGAAAAAGGAAGGTCCTTAACCTCTTTTGATTCGCTAGCTGTTTTACGCTTGATTCCGCGTCAAGTTTTAATGAACTCGTCCTAGTTAATTTCGTCTAATCAAATTCGTCAAATTAGAAAGTAATCAATCTGATTTTAATTTTTTTGTTTTATCCATTCTAATTCATATTTTGTCTTCTATTGAAATAATAATGTGGAATGTAAATGTTAAACATACAATTTTTACATTTTTATATTTATATTTCAATGTGATTTTCAGCTTGTTTAAACACAATAAGAGTGGAATCTGTGTTTTAATCGATACTTCTGCGGAATTCACGATGACGCGATAGAGTTAATAAAATGTTTCAATTATTTATCGATTGTGTTCGCTGAAATTAACGAGTCATCGCTCGATATCGAATATTCGAAATTATTATCATTACGCTATAAAAACCACGTACTTCATGGTATTTCTGATCCTTCAAATCTTTAATAGTTATAACGTTAGTGAAAGTCGAACTAGAAAGGTAAGGGTTGCACAATTCGTTTTAAGATCGAACGTCTTCGATAGAAAGTGAAATTTTTTTCTTTTTTTTTTCATTATATATATATATATCATATTTATTATATAATACATAATATATTTATTATTTAATGAACTGCTTTGTGAATGATCTTTAATTTCTTTGTTCTTTAGAAAATTCACATTTACGTTAAAAATAAATTTTTTATTCAATATTATACATTTACGCATGGTCTTAAATTAATTAATTATTCATAGAAATAAATGATTAATTTTTATATTAATCAAATAATTTTTAAAAAAAATGTATCTGAATGATTATAAGAGTGGTAAATGTACATGAAAAAACGACCAATATTTTCAAAATGCCTGTTTATCGATTTGAAAGAAGACCGTATATACAGTCTCTCTTACTAGTTACATACACTTCCACAAATCTTGTGTTCCTACGGGGTATAGTGAGATCAGATTTCGAATCCTCAGGATACTATACCTACAAGGTCTTTACTTGAATGCTATAGTATAGTATATGCATAAGTTCTACGAAATAAGTATTGATCACTTGTCATTTTCTTTTTTTTTTTCAATTGATTCTTTCTTTATATTTAAATATTATTAAATTTGTAATACTAAAAAAACATTAATTTTTAAAAGAAAAATTAGATTTTTAGAAAAAGAAGGAATTTAAATGAATCGAAAATTTATAGCCGATTAATAGTAAAATAACTACAGAGCTTGGAAAGTTCTCGAAAGATCTGAATTTTGCGTCAATAAAAGAGATTAATAACTGATAAAAAATAGAAGGAGGAACATAACATGAAGAGGAATAGAATCGAGATTCTATTGAAAATCATTAAAGCAATAATCTTTGATGGAAGCATCAAAAATACATTTTCATTAATCATTTTATATATTTGATATATATTTTTTTCTTTATATGTATTATTGTAAATAATAATTTATCATGTATTATTAATCTACTAATATATTATATACTTCATTCATCAGCAAAAGTTTTAAAATAATTTTAACTATTTATATCCATTGGTCATTAAGCAAAAACATAATTATTTATTTCTTATTTATTTACCATTAATTACTATCAATTATTTGTTATCATATAACTTGATAGAACATACTATAAATCAAATATAGATAAATCAAAAAAATATTGTTGTATTTAAAATTATGATTATGAAAAGAAAAATCGATAATTGATAAAAGAAGTACAATGATTTTAATCTATAATATTTTGTGATTTAGTAAAAAATGAACTCTTCAATATGAATTCGAGAAAATCACTAATCTTATTTCAATAAACGCTCTATAGAGGAATTACTCAATGTTAATCAGTTTTCAGATTAATTAAAAGGTTAATGATTTCTCCAAGATTCGATGAAAATTGATTATAGATGAAAATTTATTGTTCAGAGAATAGATGATCGTGCATCATTAATTAATTTTAAGAATTTTTTTCTCTCTTTCTCTCTCTCTCTTTCTCTGTCTGCATTAATTTTTTTTCATTATTATTTAATTTTTAACTATAATAATACTTTTAATATAGAAATAATAATTCTCATTATAAAATATAAAATATATATAAATATAACCTTAAAATCCATGAAGATTAATAAAAAAATATAAGATCAAATAAAAGATGAATATGAAGATAAAAAGATCATATCGATAGGTCAATATAAACGGTTAAGTTTCTGAGAAGAAACTAGGCATAGAATTTTGAAACACCATAAAAATCGATCGGTCGTCTCGTCCTCGGTGAGCCGGCTGTTCACTGGTCTACAATGACGCGCTGAGAATGTATAGGTGCTTATAACTACATGTCCATGTATTCGCTCTGGCAACAGCGAAGAAAAAGACAGACGAATAAAAGCGGAACAAAGACGAAAGTAGAGAATCTATAGGTGAAGAATGGATGAACTGTAAAGAGAGCGAGAAAGATGGTACAATCGGTGTTCAGAAACTGAATCGATGAATAAGAGAAAAGAAATAGAAAAACAGAACGAGAAGAATGTCTGACGATGAAGTGAGTGAGAAAAAGAGTAAATATACTATATATTAATAATAATAAGAAGGAGAGGAAAATAAAATGAATAAAAAAAGTAAAATAATCTGATCATTTGATAAAAAAAAATATTATTGTATATTGATATTATATTATTTATATTACGATATTATGTTATTAGTATTACTAATTAGAATAATAAAAATATGTACTATAGAAAAGAGTAGCAGAAAGAAAATTAAATCTAATGAGAAAAATAAAAATTCCTTTAAGAGGAAATTTATAATTAATAACAAAGAGACACTTATAGAAAAATTATATAAAATTAGAATAAGAATGAACTACAAAAATTACTATGTGACAATCTAACAAAGAAGAATGGTAAATGAATCAAAAGAAAAGATTTTTCTTCTTTTTTTTTCTTTTTAAAAAAGAGCAAAACAAAGAAAGAGAAAAATGACGAAGTTCGAGAGATGAAATAGAGCAACGTGAACCATTTTTTTTTCATTTTCCCTCAAATATCTATTTCCTGGGAAATATCTATTTAAAAACGAGCTAAAATATATCACGTTCTACCATGCATTCGAACTTCATTTGAATGATCGTTAACAATATATATATTATATTTGTCATAATTATCACAAATATTCGATTCTATAATAATTTCTATTTTAATATAATAGTTAATTTTTTGATAATAGGATATGATAAATTTAGAATTTTTTGGTTATATATTTTATATTTTGATTTTTTATTAGATTTCAATTCTGATATTCTTTAACAAATTAAAATATGAGAAAAATGAATTTCAACTGTTTATTTATTTAATTAACTAAATCCACGAAGAAATAATTCCAGTAGTTCTTCAACTCACCTATCTGATTTCACGCAAATTATTTGCCTTGAAGTGTCATCGATATTCCATATTTCCGGCGCGTCTTTCAAGCGAGAACGATATTCATGGACGAAGGTAGTTCACAAGAGAGTTGGTCGATCGGCAAGAATTAAAATATCGAGCGTTTCGAATAGAGAAGTACTCGGCAGCAACGAGAGAGGAACGAAGGAACGTAGAGCAACGAAGATGAATAAACTAACAACGAGGATAGAAGAGTTGAGTAGTTCTCGTCCCTGTTTAAAATATACCGAATCTTCTTTCTGCGTTTGAAAAAAAATTTCTATTTTTATTTTGGGATTTCAATAATTTGTGTTTAAACTATTTCAATTAATTCTCTGCATATTATTGAATATCAATTTATCGACGATTTTTTTATATAATCCATTGTTTTGAACTATTCGATTATAATAATGAAAATTTAATGTATTATAATTTAATATATTAATTGTACTATAATATTTCAATTAGATAATTCAAAATATAGATTGCAAATTTAACTTTTATTTATTTCATTCCATAAATTTTAATTTCAACCGATCAACATATTTTAATTTAAACTTTTTACATTTACTTGTTGTGCTTAATATTTGAAAGTCACTTAAAAGCTATTTTCAAAATTCTTATTCATTATTTATATTATTCAATCTATTTTGTTTGAAAAATTGAAGTTTATTTTTCTAGTCATTATTTATTGTTAAATATCTTCATAGATAATATAATATAATATATCAGGTAGAAAAATTTTTGTGGCATTCGAAAAACATTTATAAAAACACATGGTTAAAAAAGTTGCGTAAAATGAATGCGATCGCATTATAGTATGATTTGTACACGTGCATAAAAGGGAAGGGCGAATATATGTGTATCGGAAGGAGTGGAAAAACGCGAATCAGGACTCGTTTATAGCGAAGAACTATTGGGAGCGTTGTACTACAGCTGTTTTATAATTGAACAAACCATCAAAGTTTCTGAGATCGTTCTAGCTCGGAGAAAAAAAAGGAGAAAAAGATCTCTATTTCTCAGCTTTAGAACCGATTATCTCCATTGGTATATTAATAGTTGATTAATAATTTGTTTATTTTCATTGCAAAATCCTTTGGTTTTTGACAAATCTCTTTTACATGAATAATTATGTTCTCTCAAAAGAAAATAAAACATGTGATAATACGTAACAATAAAATTAATTACTATTTCATTGTATTCAAAAATTTGAAAAAAACAAGAATTTCCTTGATTTTTATGTTTAGCTATACTTAGCCGTTAACCAATAAAAATTGCAATGTACGAAAGATGACCGAGGAGTGAAGAAGGTCTATAGTAATGGCAGAACAACACTAATGATCGAAAGAGAGAAAGAGCAATGGTTATACATGATAGAAAAGGATGGAAAGCATCGATGGGGCGGAGTAGGGGACAGGTGTCGAAGTAGAAGGGAGGAAACCGCATGAAGGGGAAAACGACTCGACTTGGAACTCATGTCGTAGCGGTACTCGTTTTCTCTTCGGCACCGCATATCTCGTTGCCACGAAATTGAATAACCGCATAACCAATGCACGAAGTTGCACTTGCTCAAGCTCGAATTTCTTGATCTCGAATTAAACACAATTTCAAAGAAGATGACTTTTTGAAAAATTCGAAAATTTATATAATTATCTATATCGAGTATCTGCATAGTTTTTTAAATTTGATTTATTTTTTTTTGTTAGAATTTGACAAATTTTTCAAATGTAATAAAATTTTGATAATTTTAAAAAATATATTTGTCAATATGTTTTTTTCTTAGATATTTTCTTTTTTTTTTTATTAAAAGAAGACTAATAAATTCGCATCACAATTGTGTTATACACCTTCTTCAATACTGTTATCTGTCATTATTCGTATACGAAACTCAAGGAAAAAGGCTTTCCCACTCAACCAGCTAGGCTGACTGGTTCGGTGCTTAGTCACGTGTTGCGCGATACGAATGCGCACCAGTCAAAACGTCGTTGACCGTTCAATGTAACAGATCGAATCTATCCTCTTGATATATAGATATTTCTTTGTATTATCATTATATTTTTATATTATTCATAATCTTCTTATACTGCAATAAGACAGAATTATAAATATAACTATGTAATAATATACATCATATAATAAATGAAATATCAAGATTAGATTTAATCCAATGTATCGATGTTTTAATTTATTATATATATGGAATTTATTATATTATATATATATTATATATTATATATATGATTTATTATCAATTGTATTCAGTATGTGTATATATGATATGTATTTTATCAATATACTTTTGCATTCAAATAAAATAAATAATAATAGTATATGATTTTATATCATCAAGAAAAGATTTCTAAGATTATTTTTTTTAGAAATTTATTAGTTTGATACAAATACATAGATTTAATATCATATTTTGTATCATATTGTCATTTTATGTCGTATCCTTCTTATTTTTTCCTCTTTTCTTTAACCAATTTTTTTCATAAAATAATTTTCATTCGAACGAAATAAAATATTATGATATAACTTGAAACAAGGAATATAATATATACATATTAAAATTATTTCACTTGAAAGATATTAAGGATTAAATCTTGAGAATATGGATTTTTAAAATAATTTACATTGTCAAAAAAATCTCTATTTAAATGCTGTTATGATATATAATCATGATTTATACTTAATAGAAATTTTCAAATGATTATTAAATGATTTATAATGATAATTAAAATAATCTAAAAACGTCATACTTCTTATGTTGCAAAAATACAAAATCTATTCACAGATTTTAATTTGAATATCGATTAATAATCGTAGAGTAATTCGATGTGTTCTGCTCGTTGTTCTATAATAATTGTTTCTGTACAGTAACGCGTGTTGCATATTGTCTATAATCGTGTACAATTTGCATATGAGTGGGCGAGGGCATATAACCAGAAACAGAAAATTGTAACTCGGTAAATAACGAGTTTGTAAAACATCTTGTCTTCGTTAGTCCATTACGTAATTAATAATCGATAATCTCCTTAGTTGCATATCACCTATTTCTACACGTGTGCTTTTTTTCACTTAATCTATATAAAATGTTCGAAACGATATGATGGCGATAATATTCATTTTTTTTTTTCGTTTTCTTAATTCCTTTTCATTCAATTTTCCAATGAAAAAGTTTCACAAAAGAATTTTTTGAAAAATGAAAAATCGAAAATAAACTCAAAACGATCAATTTTTTAGTGAAAGTAAGAGATGTTTTATTTTTTTGAATAAAAAAAAAAAATAAAAAAAAATAAGAAAAAAAGAAATCCTACAGGAGTCATCTTTTCTTCGTTGCTTTTACGTAACGGCCTCTTTAAAACCTGGCAAGAAAACACACACGGGGCATCTCCGACTCGCCGCAAAAGTGCTCTTAACCCTCTCGTTCTTTCCCCCTCTCCTCTTGCTGTTCTCTATCACCCCTCCTTTGCTGTTCTGTAGATGGTACCGGTTGATGGCAGTCACCAAGTTCTTGCTGGATACTCTCATTAGATTACATCAAAGCCGAGAAAAGCGGGAAGATCTAAGTTCCATTATATTTGAATGTGCACATATGTATATAGTGCTAAAAAAAAAAAAAAAAATAAAATAAAATACAGATTTCTGATTATTAAAATTATTTACTTTTACTTGATGAAAGGAAAGGAATAGTTAATGACAGAAAATACAAAATAGATTCGAAACATTCATTGTTATATTTTCGCTTTGATCATAGATTAAATGTATAATATGCTTAATTTTATTATATTAAATCCTATCAATTACATGAATTTTTTTTTATAAATAAAATAAAATGATTTTTCAAATAATAATATTTACTTACTATTTTAATATTGTTAAAAAAAAAATGTAATATCGTTAGATCGATTATCGAAAATCGGATTATTGAATTAAAACCGGACAATGAATGAATATGCATAAATCGAATTAACCGCATAATTGGAGAAACGGAAGCAAGAATTCGCTGTTAAAAACTGATTTAACTATGGAGTAAGCTTCGGCGAAACGACGTTCCCAAACAAAAGGCTAAAGGACAAGTTTAACATTTTGATACGTGAATAGAAAATTTTTTCCTGTTTGTATACGATACTACGATGGATGACTGTGTGCACGCGCGCACACTACAATATTTCACGTGGACGTTCGCACAAAAGCGCACGGCGCATTATCATATCGCATTACGGTACTTACACGCGCATACATCTACTAAATTCCTCGTATGCCATCGGTATAATGTACTCTTCCTATCTACCATTAAATCAAACGCAAAGCACCTAACCAGTCGGACAGTTCATTTGGTTCACTGGTTCTGCCCGCGTGCTCATATTCACCGTGGAAATCATTGCTTTCTTTCCGAATATTTTGACGAAATTAATAAGGATAATTTTTCGATCGTAAATAATTTCAAGAAATTAAATTCTTGAATTGTTGCGATTAATTTTTGTGATTAAATATAGATTACGATTTATTCCGTGCATATTATGGCATTATAATGTGAAAATTCATTGATTCGAGATACATGTGTATATAAAAAATCATTGAACGTGAATCATTTAAAATTCCTCTCGTTTATTTAACCAAACCTATATTTTCTCATAAAAGCGATAAATCTTATGAGAAAAGAATAGTATTTATTCCAGCATACATAGGTGTTCAGTGACAAAGTTCATCGTAGGACAAATATTGCAATGTGTATGTGCATATATAACTTGTATACCGAAGGATGTGTACGAGTTTAAGCAGAAGATACAAAGGGGACCAGAACGGCGAGGAGACGAGAAATCGTAGAGGATGGGCGAGTGGTCGAGAGGACAGAGGGGTGACGATGAGAGTGAGTAAGTTTGGTGGGGGAAAAAGGACTCGGAACTCGTGTCGTAGCGGTACGACGTTCGGTCGGGTATCTCCGCATCGCGAGCCACACGCTCGGCCGGTGTCGGCTCGCATACGCGCTCAGTCGTGCACTGGCCTCGCTTGCGAATGAATGTCGAGCGAGAGCTATTCGATACGTACAACACGAAATACGTTCACAGTGTTTTCTTCTTCTTTCATGCATATGTATGTGTGTAAGTGTGTGTATACACCGGCAAGAGATATACATATACATTTATATACGTGTATTGTATATAATACTTTTCTTCCTATTTCGTCCGTCAATCGTCTCACGTAGAAAGAGTTAATGTGTCGTATACGAATATACCAAGTGCAATCAGTAGTGATCTATCGAAACGTTATGTTATGACTGATATCTATATATATACATATACATATATACTAATAGTGTAGTGACAGCAGTGACGAAGGGACGCCAAATCTAACGTGCTCCGATTAACTTCGTTCCGTTAGTCAGCCGAGTGTGTGGTAAAGTTGAGAGTGCCTGCGAGAGTAGGAAGGAAGAACAAAGAAGCGAGTCCTTTGCCAGTCGGTGGAAGTGAGTGAGGTTTGCGAAGACTGTCTCCTCTTGAAGTCTCTCTTCTCTGTCTCTTCACTCTTTTCTTTGTGGATCTCAGTGTTCTCTTCAGCTCTTTCTCTCGCTTTCTTCATCTCTACCATCGACATCGTGTGAACAGCAACGACAAGTTGGTTTCGTCTCGAGGTAAAGTGATTTTATATGACGTCACGAAAGCGATGTCAAGTTGAGCAACCTCCATCTACGCACGTCACCTATTTGTTCACGTACTCTTTATCCCCACCTTCACCCCTCTACGAGACTTATTTTTTTCCTCCCTTGTCGCGTCGAATATAGCGCGTGACGATCTTGTGATGAATAAGTACCGATATTATGCGCTTATGCTTATGACACAGCATCTATTATCAATGGCTAACGTAATCCGAGGATAAACGTTGGCACCTTGAATTTTTTTTGTGTGGGTGTTACTCTTGAGGATTAATGAACTCTTTTCTTTCGATTTTTCAATCAAGGAATAAAATTTGAAAATAGAATGATATATTTTGTTTGTAGTGTTATGATATTACTGAAACAAAATAACGAGAACGATGCGGGCTTAAGATTAAAATTGTACAATAAAAATATTTTTTTCGTAAATATATATCAATACGAAAAATCTATAATATATCAATTATTTTATCAAGACACATATTTTTGATGAATTATTTATATACTATATATAAAAATATTAAGTAAATTGTATGTATAAATAGTAATTCATTTTGTGAGTGAGATCAAGATATTATCCGATGTTTAATCTGTCTTCTATCTAATATTGTAGCAACGGTTCGATATATTGTTACGGCATATCTAAATAGTCCATAGCCTTCGATTTATCACGTTCAGCGGCTGCTTAGGGAATGCCATTAAGTGGATTGCTTAGCCACTATCGATTTTGTATACTTTAGAGTCGTAACGTATGATGGAGCCAATCTGTGTATCTTATCCATTTTTTAACATACATTCATTTCCAACTAAAGCTAAAGATATTTATTAAATTAAATGAAAATTATTAATTCTAGAATGAATTTTATTCCAAATTCTTTTAATAATGTTTAATTCTAACGAAAATATTAAACGAATAATAAAAAAAATATATGCAGAAATATAAAACAAAAAAATAAAAAAAAATAAAGAAATAAAAAATTTCTTTTATCTAATGAAAATAGACTATATGAAGAAATGAACAACGATTCAATGATATTTTTTCAAATCTTTTTCACATATTCATGCAAAATTAAACATTTAATTTGGAAAGTATTAATAGAATTAAAATAGATTAAAATTGCTTTTATGCGATTCTTCTCATGTTACTGTGGTTTTAGTCTGACTTCGTTCTTTCTCTTTCCTTTAAACAACGTAACATATGCGCACAAATTTATGAACAGAAAACATATCGAGTTATTATCGCGAGAACCGCATTAACCTTCGATCGGTAACAGACTAACAGTATCACTTGAACTGTACAAATCTATTTTAGATTATAAAATTTTACTATGTATAAATCAATTATATATTATTAATTCTATAAATAATAAAACAAAAAAGTAAATGATAAAAACAATTTTATTTAAATATTTCTATTCTAATTTATCAATAATTGAATTTTATTTTATTTTTAATATCATTGGCCAATTATTACTGACTTTTCTCGCAAAAGCATATCAAAATCCTTAAGATCCCTTTATATCATATTCTTCTTACTGGTTCGCGCCTTGTCCTCTTACTTATATATGTATATTCAAGGACGATTCAGATATAACTGCCCACACGCTCTCTTTTAAAGAAAGAAAAAATTATACGATCAAAGAAATATAAAGTAATGTAATAAAAGATAGAGTTTTTATAACAAATAAAATATATTAATATATATAAAATATGTAGATAATTTTTTATATAATTTTTTTTTGTCATCAATTAAATACATCAATTAATTTTCGTTATTAATTAAATACAAAATTATAAATAAATCAAATAATTTCTTTCTTTGCTTAATAGCAAATGATTGTTAAGAAAAATATTGAAAGAAATATTTAGAAAAATTTTTAGAAAAATAATAAAAAAATTTTATACAAACGTTAGTTTTAACCGAAAGATTAAAGTTACATTTGTAGCCTCCTGCCGCAGCTAATCTACATTATTCTACGTGTTATGTATCATCTGGTCGGTCATGCGTGTTCCCCCCCGACTTAAAATTCAACGACAGCATCGACGTAACTATTTACGACTCTACTAAGACGATCCCTTGCGACATCCAATACTAACCTCAACATACATATCCTACCGTTTAGATAATGTATCGAACATTTATTGCATAGTCGAAGCATCATAATCACGGTGCCATAATATCTCTAAGATTCAATACTGCATATTATAAATATTTTCCATCCAAATATCTAAAATTGAACTATAGTCGAAATATTCAATTGAAAGTTGACCCATACTATCCAGAATTCTTTTCTCACTTTAAAAGTGCTTTGCAGAGGGCGCGAAAATCGCCTATCGTAAGCCAATCATCGATTCAAAGAGTCGTCATATATTTAATCGCGATGTATGTATGATTGGTTAAGAACTAAAATACGAATTGTGACCAATAAGGGAATCTATATGTAAAAATCAGTTCTGGAACTTGCTAAATGCATTGGATATTGGATGAAATGTATTACAGAGCGAAGCAGACGTTAAGTCCGCTTTAAAATTCTACGGCAAGAGGCTCGTAACTATTTACGTCCTGGTCGAAAGCATATAGTTACTTTCATAGGGCTATGCGACGCATCTGTTTGACTAGGAAACACATGCAAACCTCGTTTCTCTTTCTGTGTGCACATAGAAACGACGATCTAAACTCTAAACAAAGGTATTATCGCACATATCAGATCTGCGTTGAATTACAAAGTGACTTATGAAAGGGCACCTAGTCATGTAAGTAACTTACAAAAGAACAATAATCGGATAATGCAATTAACGATACGAAAAATTTCATTTCAACATTGGCTTATTATATCTTATACTTATTCACAGATAATAAATTTTTGAATGGTATATTTTTGGTATATTAAAGAAAATATTTTTCAAAATTGATGAATATAAAATATAATTTATAATTGTATGAATTTTTTTTAACAATATATTATTCATATATTAAATACATGTAGATAAATATTTCCTATGTGATCATTATTAATATTCGCTCACGAATAGAAGTACTGGCAAACATATCGTATTTCTTTTGATCATTCTAACCAGATATTTTGCATCGAACCGAGGATGTTCAATAACGATTGACGGTGCTTTACATTTATTTCGTGTATGATTAACGAGCACCATTATAATAGTTTTTTCAACCAAGTCTCGAGCACAACTTCTTTTATTTGCATACCAATATTCTCTTCGACAAATAGTTATCGATTCCTTCCGCGATCGAAACTTACGCATTATTACGTATTAACGTAGAGGGTGACATCAGTTATATCATAGATTGTAGCGATAAGTGTGTTGTATAATCGTACAAAAATGTTCGCAATTTGGAGACATTTTATTGCTTTATAAAACTATAGGTTAAATTATCGAATCGATAAAAAAACGAGAAACAAAATATTATTTGCAGATATTTGATTTTTCCATCCATGCTATCTTTCAATTTATTAATAAAAGAAAGCAAAAAATTATCGAATTTAAAAAGATTATATTATAAATCTCTGTCCAACGTGTTATTGAAGGAATAAAAATTGTCTCAAAGCATAAAAAACCCATTGCGGCGTATTCTTTTGACTCTGGGATGCGAAGGAACGAAAACCCGTTAGAAATTGTTCGATGCTACTCTTGCATGTCGCGAACGGTCATACATGCCTGCCGTGACAGCTCTATGCGGTGGTGGTAGTAGTTATTCGTGAGCACACGCGTGTATGTGCAATGCGTGTGCACGAACGGCAAGCGTGCACGTCCGCCATAGGCCGTTTCTCGTCGTCGAGTTACAAAGGCTGAGTAGAGTAAGCGCGTCGAAAGAAGAACGGCGGCAGTGTGAAAGTAAAGAAAGTGGGCCGCTCCAAGTAGTGTTCAACCTAGTACTTACTTACCTACCTTCCTTTTTCTGCTGTCATGATACTTTTTTCTATCCAAGGATCAGTTAATCATTCAACAAATTATAAAAATTATGAATTACAAATTTCTTTAATACTGCTGTAATAACTGGAAGGATTATTTCGTTTCAAAGTTAACTCGATTTTAGTTGAATTAAGATTAATTTAGAGTTAAAACATACTTAACGATAATATTTTGAATTTTTTTTTTTTTTTTTTTTTGATAAGAAGTTACTTAGGTGTTTTAACAATCCAGTCGATAAGGTAAACTCATTTACTTTAAAGTGAAAGATTAAAAAAAAAAGATTCTAACGAAAAATTTAATGATAGAAGTTAATAAGTGTGACTCTCAATTTGTTTATTGCATTAAACTTAATCTAAAGTTCAGCAATGTGAACAAAATAAACTCGTATTAATTTCTTAAGAGACTATCGATTGCCGATTGGGACTTGGTGTGGCGAGTCCGCGCATGATTCCACCGTGACGTTTGGTCACTTTTACTAATTTCTCGGTATTTGTAACATGGTGAAATACAAATTAATTGTGCCATGTCAGAGATTCTAGAAAGTTGTCGCCAAGATGATTGTTATGATTCTGGACTGAATCCAATATCAACGTAGCTCAATTACTGTCATGCTAAAAATCTCATATACGAGATTGTCACGTGTTGTGTTATTGATTTAATTATATAAACTTAATAATAATAAACTTGAATAGAAATAATATATATAGAAAAAATGATATTTGTTAGAATCGATTTAAAGAGTTATATATGTATATTTTGTTTTTAAATTTATTTCCGATAATTTTATGAATTGCTATTTCTTTCGTACGTGTGATTTATCGATAGAGTAAAATTTAAACGAAATTTTAACATGAAGTTTTCACGATATCAAAAGTTTATTAAGTCCGTCAAACACTGAAGAGGTTAGAAAAAATTTTTTACTAATAAAATAGTATAAAATGAAGAAATATTTTTCTTTTTTCTTTTTTCGATCGTTTTTTACGTTTTTATTCCTCTCTAAGAGGTAGTTTACGAATCGAGTAAAGGATTATCCAAAAAATAAT